CTAGGATTACAGGCGTGAGCCACCGCGCCCGGCCAGGTGCTTTCTTTTAATTGTCACAAAAATGTTGGAAAAGTATATTTCATCTCTGACAGTAGTTGTCCGATTAATTTCTTTCTATTTTTAGTAGAGATGGGGTCTCGCTCTTGCTCGGGCTGGTTTCAAACTCCTGAGTTCAAATAATCCGCCCGCCTCGGCCTCCCAGAGTGCTAGGATTACAGGCGTGAGCCACCGCGCCCGGCCGCAACTAAATATTTTTTAACTTAAAAGGTCACAGAGAAGTAACATATTTACTTTCTGATAAATTCTTTTAAAATGTGGTTTATCAAACATATGAATCCATTTAAGATAAAACTTTTATATAAATTAGGTAAAGGCAGTCTCATATGTGAATACTTTTTAAGAACTGAAAGAAGCAAACACAGAATTTATTTAAAGACATGAAGAATAAAATACCTGAGAAGGAATACAACAGAGCTACAGTAACAGAATAGATACTTTGGTATTTGCTAGAAATGCTTCCCAATCAATGAGATGGAATATACGGCAATGTAGTCAACCAGTAGTCTGAGAGGTAGGTGTCTTGGCAAGTATATTATGAGAAAGAGCACCCTGTTAATTTCAAAGTATGATCTATGTATTGGAAATGGGAGTGATCCTGTCAGCTACAGATTTGTGTTTAGACAAAGTCTGCCCCATTTCTTTTTTCACAAGGCTTCTATAGTTTCATTGAACTAATGTGCACCTCTAAATTACCAGTGGGCATAACTGGGAAACTACTGTCATACACTCTCCAAGAAAATGTACAGCAAATTTTAAAATATGCAAATATTTTATGCAATGAAAAAAAAAAGCTGAGAAACGCACTGAACAATGAGATGGCTACACTTATTTCCTATTTAAAGTCCAGGCACATCTCTGTCAGATAGGAAAGGGGGAGAACAGCCATATAAGATGTAACCTACACAGAATAGCCAGACTCATATCTTTTTCCAAATCTGCCATTCCTTCTATATCTCCAATGGTAGTTAAAGGCATTCCCAACAACCAGTTATTCAAGGCACAAATCTCAAGCTTTATCCCTTTTCCTCAATGACGGATTACAGGAATATTCAATCAGCAGTAATCGTGTTAAGTCTATCTCAGAATTGTCTCTTTAACTTGTTCCTTAGTCTCAACTCCACTGATGATAGTTCGCATTTCGTTTCTTATCAAGATAACTAAATGGCCTCATAATTCAATCTCTGACCACAGCCTCTTCCTCCAAAATCCAGTTCCACATTGACAACAGAAGTGTATTTATAAAACACAGTTATGTTACTCCACTGCTTAAGAAATTCCACTGGAAAAAAGACATTCTATAAGAAAGAGATCTGCACTCAAATGTTTAGCAGCACAATTCACATTGCAAAGATGTAGAAACAACCCAAGTGCCCATCAATAATGAGTGGATTAATAAAATGTGGTATATGTATACCATGTATATGTATACCATGTCTACTCAGCCACAAAAACCAATGGTGACCTAGCACCTCTTGTACTATTCTGGATGGAGCTGGAGCCCATTCTAGTAACTGAAGTATCACAAGAATGGAAAAACAAGCACCACATGTACTGACCATCAAATTGGTACCAACTGATCAACACTTATGTGCACATATGGAAGTAACATTCATCACCTGTCGGGCAGGTAGGAGTGGGGAGGAGGGGATGGGTATATTCACACCTAATGAGTGCAATGCGCACTGTCTGGGCAATGGGTGGGGCAAAGGCAACATATGTAACCTAAACGTTAGTATCCCCACAATATTCTGAAATTAAAAAAAAAAGGAAAAAAAGGCAAATTTCCAAATTCCTTAGAAAAAGCATACAAGTTCACAATGTGTATAAACTTAAAGGTGAAACAAAATGGATAGATGAGAATAAAATAACCTAATGCTTACAGATGTTTAGCTATTTAAAGTTGAAAGGACCCTGCTAAAAAGAGCTAACAATTATAGGCTCAGATTTAATGTGAATTGATATAAGGTACTAATCATATATTTTGGCATTCATTTCAAAAAAATTTTATTTAAGGAATTTTCAAAAATAATGACTTATTGAGGGTATATATGTTCAAGCTGTTTTAAAAAACACATTTCACATTTAACAAACAGAAAAGAAATTCTTGGGTAAAATCCAGTGAGATATAAAGCTAAATCTTAAAGAAAACATACTTATACACTTGGGCCACATGAACATGGCACTCATATCAATTTTACAAGGATAATTAAAAAAATTTTTTTAACTGTTCAAAAGATGAATGTCTACACATACAGTTATAAACTCAACATAAGCATTAGTTATTTTACCAAGTACTGCCAAGCTACACTACAGCCACAGAAATACTTAACTGAGTTGAAGTAGGTCAGAAATGCAGTTTAGAAAAATCAAGAATAAATGCCATGCCAGAAGCCATCTGTGTCAGTGACAATGTTAGTTCATATAATGTGGACTGGGAAAAAAATCTTAGATGAAATATACATGTGCAACACATACCTTGTTATTCTGTTAACTATATAGTAAATTGCTTTTTTTTATAATGTTTACATAATTAACAATTATTAATAGAGAGCAGGGAGTCAGAAAATGCTAAACAGAGGTACAGATGTTACGCATATTTCTAATATGTGTACACAATCTAAAAGAGATACACACATAAAATAAAATAAATACATTCTTATTAGAAATTCTGGGGAGTAAAAGAGGGAAAAGAAGCTATCACTATCAATTTCTCTGTGTAAGTTTAAATTTCAAACCCTCTTCCTAGTACCAGAGAAAAAACTCCTAGAATATAAACAGATAATAATTCAGAGTTATCCTGTTATCACCTTTTTTAAAAAACAAAGAATGCCAAATATTTTTAAGGAAAATAAGTAAGTTCATAAAGAGAAGAATGAAAAACTCATGTTCAATTACCTTTTCTAATTTTTTGGCCTCAATGTGTCGAAGTACTTGTTCTCGCCAGTCATGAGGAACTTTACTTTTTCCTGGAGGATCTAATAAAGAATGCTCAGAACCAACCCTTGCATTTGGTCTTTTTGAAGGGCTAGTCCGTGAATAATTGAAATCACTAACTGACATAGTTCTCTCTGGTATTTCATTAACAGAGGGTCGAGCACTCTGAGGCCTTGATGCATTTGGACCGTCAATGCTGTATGTTCGTGCAGAAAGAGGTCTCTGTGATCCTGACATCACTGGAGGAGTTCTTCCCACTGAATGTAACTCTCTGTATGATAAATAATCGCCTTCAGGAATTTGGGCCCGCCTTGTGGGACCTGGATCACCAAGATTTACAGAGGCTGTAGAGGACACACTACTTTGTCGCTGAATCGTAGTTCGAGTTACAGCAGGAACTAGTCGGTCATTTGGTGAAATGGCCCACATTTCCCCATGTCTTGCTGACCCAAGTCTCTGATGTAAATGGTATGCAGTGTTAGCTCGAACATTGTTATGGTTAGAAAAATTCATATTGGCAGAATGTTTAGGATAACTATGATTTTCTGTGCTCTCTGATCTAGGAAGGCGCTGAGGAAAACTGACATGATCTATTTGGGGATTTTGTTTAGAGTGCCACAAAGTGTCTTTGACTGCAGCACTGCTACTATATTGGATATTATATTGTGGAGGACCATATATTTGGGGTGTAGATTGTGGGCCACTTGCTGTGGGGCCTCTTAATATGTTTGGCTCTTCGGGATTATGATTTGAATCAAACTTGAAAATCGTCTTTGTACCCGAGATTAAATCAGAAGATGAAGAAGAACCAGTAAATACCTGCAATGGTTGATCATACAACAGTGTGGCAGACTTGCTTCTGACTATATTTTTTCCATCAATAGCAGATGTGATTTTAACTGTTGTACTTGGCTGCTGAGGTCCATTATCACTAAGAATGTCATAGATTTTTAGCCCTCCAGTCTCCATATTAGTTATGCTATGAGATTTCACAACAGATCCAACTGGACCACTTCTCTGAGGGGAGAGATCTTCAGTGCTTTTGGAAATACCTAAGTCAACAGAAGAATCAGTATCTTGTGGTTCAGTCCTATTAGGAGACTGTGAAGTTTCCTCAGAATGTCCATTTACCTTATTTACAGATTCCAGGTTAGGATACTTGTTTCCATCTTCCAAGTGCTCTTCTTCCTCTTTAGAATTAATGCTTAAAAATCCTGTTCCAAGGACTATATCCTGTGTCTTTGATCTTTCCACTATCTCTGGTTGAAATGTATCATTAGTTATAAGCTTATTAAGATTCATATTGATGTGATCTAATTTGTGAGATTCATCAGATGTGGCTGTTGACTCAACACCTTTCTCAATTAGAACAAGTTGTTCTTCAATATTCAAATCATATTCTGGTAAATTAAAATCTTTTTTATCATGAACCTTGAACTTTTCCTCTGTTGAGCTGTTTAAAATATCTCCATTTTGTAAAAGGCTGTTAAAATTTTCATCTTCTTGCCTAAAATAAAGATAATTTTATGAAAAACATAATAAAGCACACTTTTCTTATTAACAGGGGACACTGATAAATAACTAGTCAAATTGTATAGGTAGACAAGTTAAAAAAAGTTCATGGGTGTCACAGATAAAAAGCATTTATTATCAAGCATGTAATTTAAAAATATTATCTTAGTCAAGTAATATAGCTTTAAGTCAGAGACAAATAAAATTCATAGTTAATATTGAGATTAATAAACTCAATTTAATTTAATAGGGATAAACTATGTCTAAAAGTATAATTACGCATCTTCTACTGCTGCATCTTTTCAGGAATGTGCTAAAAAAAAGAAATGCTTGAATGTGGGCAGATAAATGGAGAGAAAGCTAATAACTTGAATAGCTACAGGTACAGGACATTTTTCCAGATAATTCTGAAGCCTTACATTATTAACCATGTTAACCACAGTTAATCATATTAACTAAGTACACAGTTATTATTAAATTCAAATAGATGAGAAAATTATATAAAACAAAGAACTGAATAACCACCCAAAGTTTTATATTAAATATGTAAAAGGGATCAAAAGAGAAACTAAGTCTAATTACTCTTTTAAGTGGCTAGCTGTATTTGAGAAGTATTTTATAAATGTGCCATTCCAAAATTATAGAAAATATTTCATTTTTCCTTGGTGATAAAAAAACATATTTGTGTTCTCTTATGTAAATATTGTTATATTTACACAAAAATTCCTCAGTATCGACTCTCATTATGCAAAAGGTAACATTATTAAAAATACGGCACCAAAAGGTTAGCTTTTAATTATATAAGAAACATGATTTATAAAATACCATGCTATTTCCCAATAAACAAATAAGTAAAACTTTATTATTCAACTAATTAATCATCATGTTAATATCTAAGAGGTTATAAAAATAAGAATTTTAGGTTTGGCATGGTAGCTCATGCCTGTAATCTTAGTACTCTGAGAGGCCAAGGCAGGATTACCTGAGGCCAGCAGTTCAAGACCAGCCTGAGCAAGAGTGAGATCTTGTCTCTACAAAAAAATAGAAAACTTAGCCAGGCATGATGACACATGCCTATAGTCCAAGCTACTTGGGATGCTGAGGCAGGGGGAATCACTTGAGACCAGGAGTTTGAAGTTGCAGTGAGCTATGATGATGCCACTGCAATCCAGCTGGGGGCAGAGGGTGGGGGAGGACTGAGTGAGACTCTGTCTCAAAAAAAAAAAAAAAGTCTGTATAATAAGCTTTTAGTTTAGTAGTAACCCAAATCTTTCTCTCAAGCATACTCAAGCTGATAGACTAACACTAAGGCAGAATGATGGCATGGTCTTGCTTTGATAACTAAATTTCTTAAGAGCCTAAATAATAAAATTTGTTTTAAACTTCTGTTAAATTCCAGACTACAGAACTTAACATTTACATTTCTCTGAGAGTTTGTCTAAGCCAAACATACAAAACCAGTCAAGAGTATTTGAAAGAACCCTTTGATGGCATCCTCCCAACATGTTTCTGCATTTCTAACTATAAAAATACTCCAAATAGGCTGTTTATGTTGTAACACCTAGAAATATTATACAAATGTTCAATCTTATAATCAAGATGATTGAGAATCTATTTTATTTATTCTTCCCCATTTAGAAAACTAATTTAAAATGGAAGTGTATAAAAATTAAATGGATAATTAGTAATAAAATGGGGAAAGAAATCATGTACTGCCTGAACCACTTCTATAGTATTTGTGAAATGCTTTATGTTTTAGTTATGTATTTATTATTTGCCTTACTATTTCTATTTATTGTACAAATAAAAAATTTTGTAAAATATTCACAAACCTGATTTTGGAGTTAATATCAATATGAGTTTGTTTCAATGGAGAGCAGAGTGAGGTGTCTTGACTACTATCAGTATTAAGAGAAACTGAATCAGACATCCGAGATGGAGAAGAACAATTGCTGTTATTCTGATTGCTATTGTGTGTAACTTCATCTGATAAAGAATCTGTATCCTTTGTATCATCTGAAACAAAACAAACAAAAAATTAAGACCAATGATAAATCCATCAGGAATTGTGCAAAATACTTTCCAGTAATGCCAAATGCAATTTATATTGCCCTGGTTCCATACATGAGGTAATAAATTATATGGATAAGAAGATAACCAAAGGCATCCCTGCAAATTCAGTCCTAATAAAGAATTTTAAAATAGTGAGACCATTTTTTTAAATGTAACCAATGTTAAGGTTACCAAGAATTTGATTTAGTTTAATTACTGACAAGATGATATTATGCAATGTTTTCTAAAGCCAATTAATTTTAAGGAACATGCTTTCTACCCATGTACAATTTCTAAGACTCATAATAAAAAGTATAGTTACAGTTCACAACCTTTGTAAACTTGTCTGGGTAAAAAATTGTTTCATACATGTGGGGAATTTTTTTCATCTCTTCTGGTAATAAAAATGAGCAATGCAGCCAACTGTCCCCCCAACACACACACACAATTACCAAACAAATCAGGAGATTTTCAAGGTCAGCTCTCTCATTTCTTCACATTTTTTAAGCCATTCATAGAATTGTTTATGAATGTTATACTCTCAATATGTGAGGTGATTGTGTATGTAACAATTATATAAACAGAAATAGACAGTGTTCATATCCTATGATAGGGAGGTACATAAAAAGTAGTATTTTTTTAAAAGTAGTGGTAAAAAAGTTGTTTTTAACTAACTTAAATCTAGCCAAATTATGGAAATAGTGTATAAGACACATCCACAGAAGATTGTATGAATCAAGGATATTTTTGCTGTTCTGCTCTTCTGAGACCTTAGTATTAACAGCATAGCTCAAGTAGTCTGGATTGAGTTTACAGTTGACAATAGCTGCATATGGGCTCTGTAACCTCAACCTCAAGGTATTTGGGTCTTGGGTTCTTAATTTTTAAAATACCATTAAACTAGATGGCTAAATTCTTTCACAAATATATTTCTCTTCCTCCTCATCCTGGAGTTATTGTGACAACTGACAACAACATGTAACTTAGCATAGTACCCTGGCAACTAGTAAGTGCTCAACAAATGCTACATACCATTGCCAAAATTATTATGAACCTAAGCTACCCGAGGGCACCTTGAAATTATCACTGATGCCATAAAGACAAAAGGCTGGATAAACATTTGGTGAAGATGGTATAGAGACAGTCAGGTGCTGGGGGGGAGGGGTGAAGGAAGAGACAGGTATCCTTCAAGATTTAATTTATCTCAAGAATCTAAGATTCTGTTACATGAAAGAATGGCTGGCAGAGGTTGAGGAGAATGTAAAATATGTTCTGGGATAGATAAGAATGAAATAACAATGAGCATCATGAACTGTGCTAGATTTGAATACTTTCCATAATCTAGTCCTTTTGATATAAAATCCTTCGATAGCCTCACTGTAAGTCAAATTAGATACATACATATGGATAAACTTAAGTAACTCAAGGATCACATAGCAGATAAGCAATAGAATAATGTAGGCTTATTAGCCTGTAAAGTCCATGCCCTTTAAGTAAATTTGCATGAGGGGAGGGAAAAGATCTATGAAGACCTTTCTTTAAAAATGAATAATAAGGAAGGAGAAGTTTTCAGAAAGGAATGTTTAAAAACTTATTTTAAAAATATATTTCAAATAACATTTCAATGAAATTTATTCCAAAAAAATTTATAACTTTTATTCAGACAATTTCTTTTCTTAGTGCTTTCCTTTAACATCTAACCTTTTTTGTTATTACTAAGTGCTACGACTTTTGGCTGGTTAATAGACGTTTCAATTAATGGTGGTCGCATCTCTGCCATTTTCATCTCTTCATCAGAAGAAAGTTCTTCAGATTCCTAGTTTAAGAAAAAAGGAAGAAATATACATAAAATTAAATTTTGGTTTCCTTAAATGAATAAATGTTAAGTCATAAGAACTTCAGTAGGAAAACAAAGAATATTAAGAACATGCATGAAACATTTTCATGGTAATAGTGACTAAAACTAGTATATGATCTAACTAATTCAAGACATCACAATAAAACTATGGTAATTCTTAACAATATGCCAACATGCCTATGGGATAATTTTCTGTGGCAAGCCTTAATTCAAGTATATTAATGATTACTATGTGCCTGGTACTGTATTACGTGCTAGACAAACAAAAATGAATAAAACAATCCCTGCCTTTGAAAAACTCAGTTTAGTGAGGGTGCCTCAACAGAAAGTTTCTCCTTAATCCTCAAATTTATTCTTTTAAGAATCACTGGGTTCAAGGGAATCAGATGGACTGAGATGTTCTGCCATCAAAATGAACTAATGGCAATTTTTCCCCAATTTTTTTTATTATTCTCCATGAATTTTTCTGTAACACTTGGCACTAGTCTCAGATTATCTCCCATTGAGTGCTGCCAGATAGCAAACAAAATGACTTGTAAGTCAACAAATAAAAAAATTTTAATATTATATATACTGCATATGAAGAAATCAGATCTTCTGCAGGCTAAATCATTCCTAGTTAACATGATGGAAATAAATAAATATGGTGAAAATAAATCAAAGGTCCTTAAAAAAGGTGTTCAGTTAAAGGTACTAAGACTTTTAGGTATCCATAAATGCCATAATAAACATATGGATTGGGATCAGCAAACCATTTCAGTAAAAGGCTAAATTAAGTATTTTAGACTTTGCAGGCCAAATGTTCTGTTTCAACTATTCAACTCTGCTGTTATGGTGCAAAAACAGTCACAGACAATATATAAACAAATGAACATGGCTATGTTCCAATAAAACTTTAATTTTCATGTGATAAAATAGTATTCTTCTACTGATTTTAACTAACCTTTTAATAAGGTAAAGCTATCCTTAGCTTGCAAGCTATTCAAGAACAAGGAATGGGCCAGATTTAGCCCACAGGCCACAGTTTGCCAACCCTGCTCAAGACTGTACTACAATGGAAAGAGTTAAAGGCTGCTGGTTAGTAGAGTAGGAAAAGGAGGTAGTAATTTTGAAAAATGAGTAAAGAAGGGAATGACATTTTGAACATAGGGAATCACAGAAATAAGAAACAGTATGCCAAGTCAGCGCTGTGCAGTATAAGTGGCAGGAGAGACAAAAAAGGTAGACTGGATTGCATGGTAAAAGGTTATTCTCTGAAAATGGACTCAATTAAGTATGTATTAGTCATTACTGGAAGTTGCCAAGCCAGGAACTCATAAGATCAGAATTATATTTTAAAATGTTAATTCTGGTAATAAGAATGTACAGGAAGAGGAAGAGACTGGCAGAAAGAAATCTAACTACCACCACAGTCCTGAAGAAAGTGAGATTACGTCTGTTCTTAGGCAATGGCAGTGGTGGCTGATAAAGAGAAAAAGAATTTCATAGAAATTTTGGTATATTCAGGACTCAATGACAGAATAAATGTGAAGAATGAGAGAACAGGAGAAGGAAGGGCAAACTGTCTACTTTAATCTCTGATATCCACAGCATTTATATAGCTGACCACTCTTTCTTCTTCAAGAATTTATATTACAGGCCGGGCGCGGTGACTCTCGCCTGTAATGCTAGCTCTCTGGGAGGCCGAGGCGGGAGGATTGTTTGAGCTCAGGAGTTCGAAACCAGCCTGAGCAAGAGCGAGACCCCATCTCTACTAAAAATTAGAAAGAAATTAATAGGACAACTAAAATTATATATATAGAAAAAAATTAGCTGGGCATGGTGGTGCATGCCTGTAGTCCCAGCTACTCGGGAGGCTGAGGCAGTAGGATCGCCTGAGCCCAGGAGTTTGAGGTTGCTGTGAGCTAGGCCGATGCCATGGCACTCTAGCCCGGGCAACACAGTGAAACTCTGTCTCAAAAAAAAAAAAAAAAAAAAAAAGAATTTATATTACAAGAATTTATATTACAAGAATTTATTACTTTGGGAACTGCAATTTCCTAAATCTCTTGCCACCTTTCTGTCTCCTTTAGTCATGTCAATCTTCTAACAGCCCACATTTTTTCCCTTTCTTATTTGTTCCCTTTGGATATTGTGTTTTCTTCAATGATTATGTTTACTATGATAATTCTCCAATTTATAATCTACCTTTGATTTCTCTTCTGAGCTGAAGATTCACATTCTGTTGGATATGTCTAATTGACAGTCTTGCCGATTGTTCAAATTCCACATACCGGTAAACAAACTGGTCCTTCCAAGCCTGTCTGTTCTCTTAACACCTCATCCTGTTAATGGCATCATCTCCCTAATCAGTCATGGTTATGTCACTATTCATTCTACTTCCTTCTTTATAGTCAGAGATATTCACATGTTACAGTCCTCCTCTAATATTCTCACAACTAACTTTCAGCCCATGTTTTTTGCTATCTTTATTCAAAAAGCTGGTTGTGTGCAGCGGCTCATGCGTATAATTCATGCGTATAAGAACTTTGAGGTGACAGGATTATTTGAGGCGAGGAGTTAGAGACCAGCCTGGTCAATCTCTACAAAAAATTTTAAAAGTTAGCCAGGTGTGGTGGTGCATGCCTATAGTCCCAGCTATTTGCGTGGCTGAGGTGAAGGATCACTGGAGCCCAGGAATTGGAGGCTGCAGTGAGCTATAACTGCACCACTGCACTCTAGCCTGGGTGACAGGTATCTCTTAAAAAACAAAACAAACAAAAAAAACAGCCGTCTAACTCAGAGAATTCAGTAGCCACTGTAACATAACTCTAATGCACAGCTCTATAACAGTAATACTCTACTAAAAGCCTTCTGTGGCTCCCAAGGACCACAGAACACTAAGTCCAAACTTCTTAGCATGGCTTTCAAGGGCCTTCATAATCAGGATTCAATCTACTGTACTGATTTTATTTCATAATATTTGCCCTGACATACTCAGTAAGATAAAACATATTCTCTTCCACATTTTTCAAATGCCATTCTTTTGTTCTCATTATTCCTTCCACATTTCATTTAGTTCTCTTTCTGCCAATTGAAATCTTTCAAAATACAGGTCAAATGGCTCTTTCTCCTTAAAGGATCCATGGATCTTCAAAGCCCAAAGATCTCTTTTCTAAATTGGTATAATACTTAATACTTTGCTTATGCACTTAGCATAGTCTATACTCGATTCTACATATTTGCACTCATTTTAATCTATATATCCACTTATCCCTTCTGCCACTACAGCTCCAAACACAGTGTCTTACACATAGAAATTACACTAAATAAGTCATAAGTTCACTGGGACAAACTTAATAACTTTTGCAAATTATGTTATATTAGCTTCAATGCATACAGTAGTATATTGAGTAACGTTAACCATCTAAAGTACATCCAAAAACCATGAGTTTTTTTCCCCTATAGTAAATGCTAACTCACAGGATAAGCATGAAAATAAATGATGTGCTTTGAATGCATTTTGAATTTTCAGAAATAAAGATGCTATTATAGCCCACAATATCACTGTTTCTTTATACCAATGCTGTCCAATAGAACTTTCTACAGTGACAGAAATAATCTTTATCTGTGCTAGTGTGTGTTAGTGGTAGCCACTAACTAGCCAGATACGGCTACTAACCATTTGAAATGTGGCTACTATGAGGAGGAGGATCGATTTTAAATTTATTTAATTTAATTTCAACTTAAATAGCTACTTGTAGCTAGTGTGTATCACAGTGGACAATACAGCTATAAATAAAAAAATACTTCAGATATTCATATTAAAAGTTATAGCTTCACCATTTTACATTACCAACAGCAGTATATGAGGGGAACATAAATGGTGAAACCACTTTGGAAAAGTGTTTGGAGTCTCTCAAACAGTTAAATATAGAGTTTACATGATCCAGCAATTCCACTCTTATGTCCAAGAGAAATGAAAATATATATTCACACAAAAATCTGTACACAAATATTCATAGTAGCCTTCTTCATTATAGCCAAAAAGTGGAAATAACCCAAATGTCCATCACTTGAAGAATGGATACACAAAGGTGTGGTATATATACACAACGGAGTATTATTCAGCCATAAAAATGGACGCAGCATTGATATATGCTATAACATGGAATAAACTTGAACACATTATATTAAGTAAAAGAAATCAGTCACAAAAGATCACATATTGTATGATTCTATTTATATGAAATGTCAAGACCAAGCAAATTTATAGAGGCACATAAAGATTTTTTGGTTGCCTAGCGTAAAGGGGATGAGGAGATTGGGGAGTGATAGTGAAGGAGTACAGAATTTCTTTCTGGGAAGACAAATGTAAAAGTGATTGTGGTGACAGTTTGCACAACTTAGAAGCCACTGAATTATATACTTTAAATAGGTGAATTGTATGGTATATGAGTTATATCTCAATAAAGCTATTTTTTTTTTTAAAAAGTTACAGCTTTTATGGATCCACTAGAAGAAACTCCATAGCTAAAAAGTCTCAGACACTCAACAAAAAAACCTTCACATTCAATGACAAGAATGCTTAAATAAGTTGAATAATTGAGTTTACTGATAGCAGTCTTTTGTTTTTAAGTTAGAGAAATAAAAGCAATAGTAATTATATATTTTACAGTAGACTGAACCCCCCACAATCTAATTTACATAGCAGTTAAATATCCGAGCACAAAGGGTATAAAAGTGCTAAGTTTAAAGTGATAAATGAGCAATACTTTAGCAAATATTATGAAATTTCTCAGGGACAAATTCATTAATGTATTTTCTATAATCGATATCAGGTCTTTAGTTAGCAACAATGAAATATTAAATTTAAAGTTCTTATAATTGCTTCAGAATAATCAAAAATGTCATACCTCAAAAACATCATCATGATTAACAATATGCTTCAAGTTCTCAGAGGCTTTCACATTTGCAGTCACTGGTAAATTCCCAGGACTGATCTCAGCTTCAGGTTCATTGATCTTCTGTACAGAGTTCCCTATCGTATACTTTTCTCTTTCATCAGCTTTGCTTTTTACTGGAATAGCACTTTCTGAAGTCTAAGTAAAAGAAAAGATGAAGAACTCATATTCTTTTAAGTTTTATATTTATTCTTGTACTAAAGTTCAGATAAAAATTTACAAGTGATTTACAAACTTCCAATTCTAGACAAATCTCAAACAAGGAAACTTCAAACACGGAAACCTATGGCACTCATAGATAAAGTGCCCATTTGGGGAACAGGTGGCCCTCAAAAATCCATGAACTACATTAACATTTATAATGTAACCAAAGTTATTTTTCCTCTTAGAAGTTGCAAGGCTGGTGTGGACGAGTGAGTCCCTTGGCTCAAGCATACTCAACTCAGAATGGTTAAGATTGTTTTCTGCTCATTGTAGAATGTATGGTAACTCTAATGACATGATAAAACTTTTGTTTCTGTGATACATTATATGTGGGGGCAAAGACCACTAAAGGAATACACAACTTAGGAATTTGTGAAAGTTTCTGAAATATCCCAAGGAAATGCCAAACGTCTGTCATAGTAATTACATTTAAAATTAGAATTGGGTAAAGTGGACCAATATTACCAGGGGAAAAAAAGAATACTTGCATAATAATAACTTTTCTGAAATTATCTTCTTTGTTCAGGCAATGATCTTTGAAAGGCTTTGTTGACACTACCCTGGCAATCTGGGCATTCTATAGCCTGAGAGGTAATAACTGCAATTAGAGAGTTCTCTGATTATTATAGCTTCCCAGTTCAGGTAACTAAGAACAAAACCATAAATTTGGAAGTACAATTATGCGTCACTTAACAATGAGGATATGTTCTGAGAAATGCATTGTTAGGTGGTTTCGTCATCGTGTGATCATACTGTGTACAAACCTCAATGGTATAGCCTAATACACACTTAGGCTATAAACCTGTACAGCATGTTACTGTACTCAATACTGTAAGCAATTCTAACAGAATAGTAAGTATTTGTATATCTAAACATATCTGGATATAGAAAAAATAAACCACTGGTGTTATGACATCACTGGGCGACAGAAATTTTTCAGCTCCATCATAATCTTATGGGACCACTACCCTATGTGCAGTTCATGGACTAAAACATTGTTATGTGGCACATGACTGTATATCTACTGCACATTTAAAAAGTCATTACAGCAATTGTCATTTAAAAATTTTAAAGAACTGGAAATAGGCTTTAGTCAATCCTTTTGAATTGAGTTTTCTAACCTTTACACCCACATCTTTATTTACAACTTGCTGATCTTCTTGTGGTTTCAGATCTCTTCCAGAGTCTTCACTGGTCTCTTCATCTTTTAATCTATGTACAATGGTTTGAACAGTTTTGACCATATTCTTAAGCTCATCTGGGTATGGTGTTGGATATCTCTTTAAATTTCCCTCCTAGAAAAATAAAATATGTGAAATATAAACTATAAATACTTCTAATGTCAATCAAATGAAAATTTAATCTATAATCCATATGAATTATATTTGATATCTAGCTCATAGGGATACCTGTGAAGACAGATGACTGGTTTTGAAAGCATTTTAAGCTTGACAAAAATATGGCTTTATCACAAAATAGTCAAAGACTGCACAATAAATTTCAATGTTTTAAAAGCTTTTTTAGCAGACAAATATTTTCTGTTTGGAGATATATAGTGTGGATATTGCCAAAAGTTGTCATTTAGCTTTGAAACAGATACATACTTTCCAGCTAGAAATTTATCCGATTTACACAAGTAAAATTCAGACATTCATATATCTATGTCTCACGTGCCAGGAACCAAACTCTTCCAGGGTCAGCCTAATTGTCATTTTCTGAGATTCAGCTAGTTTATATAAGGGGCAAATAATTACATTTGTAACTTGGAAATATGTATCATTGTGACATTTTCAATCCTACAAAAAAACAAAATGTTCGTAACAAAGAGTACTTTATCTCTAGGATTTATATAAATAAATCATTAAAAAAAGGGGGAAAATAATCACTATAAACATGGTGGGGGGGGACTGACTAAACTCTGGAGTTAAACAAAAAGGGTACTAATTCAATATAAAGTTCTAGTTAATTTCTCTAGCCTATAATAATTTGTTTTTCTCTTCTATTTATATTAATATGTACTATGAAATTTAGCTTTTAATCACATAATTTTACATTGCTCTCAAATTCCTTCATATGTGAAATATTTTGGATCAGTAAGACTTCAAGTGCCTTGAGGACAAGGAATGAATCCAATACTTCTCCATATCCCCAAAATATGAGAGTATGGGTATATAGTACCAATTTAAACATCAGCAGATCTGTTTCAAATTTGAAGGAATAAAGAAGAGACTCACCCTCGGAGGTGCCTCCCTTTCATCTTTGTCTTCATCACATTCAAATGCCACTTGAGCCCGCTGTTTCCTCTGTTCCTCCCATAATGAAGGATTAAAACTTTCATTATCTGATATGAACATAACTAGAGAAAAGTAAAAAACAAAAACCTACTATATTTTACTGTAATTATGAAAAACTACTGCTTGCTCCTAATTTATAAGTTATGTTTATTACAATAAGTCTGAGATAGTTAAGGCTCGTTAATGTCAGAAGTTACAAATCCTAGGGTAATGACTAGGCTGTGATTCTAAGATTTCTTTACAATGTCAATCACATATCTTTTCTTTCCTGAAGCTGATCTGTCATTTTGTTACCAGAAGGGTTCCTGAAGAGAATCTACCACCCATTAAAACACTACAGATATGTAGAGTTTTGTGCAGTGCCCTAAAAAGGTAATATTAATATATAAATCCTTTCATCCAAGTTTATTTTTGTACCTAATTCCAGTAGTTCATTATGTATACAGAAGTGGGGGAAAAGTTTGATAACAGAGTGAGATAAAAGAGAGCAGTAAGAAAGGACTACCTTAATGGCATGAAATTTCATCTCTGCAGTAAACATTATACACTATATACACTACACTTACTAAGTAAAGTATTTACAGTATATTTTCTATATCACAATGTAAAGAAAATTGAAATTTCAATGTAAACTCAACACATATATTCTGCTATGGGATATACAGGTTGAGCATCCCGAATACAAAAATCCAAAATTTGAAATGCTCCAAAATCTAAAACTTTCTGAGCACTGACATGACACTCAAAAGGAAATATGGTCACTAGAACACTTTGGGATTTTTGGATTAGGGATGCTCAACTGGTATGCATTCTGCAAATATTCCAAAATCCAAAACACTTCTGGCCCTAAGCATTTCTTATAAGGGATACTCATTCTTTAATATTAAAAGTAAAGATTTAACAACTCTTACAATTTTTGGCTTCTTATTATTAGGCATCTAAAAAATATATTAGGCATAAAAAATTAATTCATTCAACTATTACGTATCACATCACAGAAACTGCACAAGACAAAATAAAATCACTTTTTTGCCCCCCCAAAAAAATGATTATCCCTATTCAAAACAAAGAGATTAGAAGCACCCAAAATTAGCTAATAGTAAAACTGAAATTATTGAAATACCTAAACAAGGCCAATTTGAATATTTATGCAAAAATAACATGATACAAAACTTCTAATTATCATTTATATTAAGGTCTTATTTTGGGCTTCTTAATCTTTCTAAATCTCATATCCCAACTAAGGATGTCATGAAACCAAATACTAACAATGGGAATGGAATTTTTTGATTTAGCCTTTCTCTGTTTTCATTACTCAGTTCAAGATTTTTTTCCTATAATTGCTTTTTTGAAATGCTTAACATTTACTTAATGAATTAGACTATTGGTTTTTGTTCAAAACAAATGTGGAATGTGATTAAAATTCCTACTGACATACCTTTGAAGTATCACTGGAAAGGCAAGCATAGCCAACCAGTTTCCAACAAAGTCTATTTCTAGGATTTATATAACTCCCCCTCCTATCTTAGGCATTGATTTGAATCACAAGCCGAGTCCAGAGATCCCTAAGAATGTTAGACCATATCAAAGCAATTTTACACCAGAATTTATTCAGAACCCCGAGGTAAATAATTTTTACCATGCCTCTCATTTTTGTCAACTTCTGGTCACCTACACTTTCTACTCTTTAGTATAAATCTCACATCTCTGAAGATTCAGGACATCAGATAATATCACTCTCTATCCATTCTACAAGCTACTTGACCTGATCACCCAGGCGCATATATATATATGCTCTGCTACCTGGGCTAGAGTGCCATGGCCTAGCTCACAGCAACCTCAAACTCCTGGGCTCACTACAGCTGCACATCACCACACCTGGCTAATTTTTCTATTTTTAGTAGAGACAGGGTATTGCTCTTGCTCAGGCTGGTCTTGAACTCCTGACCTCAAGTGATCCTCCCAACTTGGCCTCCCAGAGTGCTAGGATTACAGGTGTGAGTCACCACGCCCGGCAGAGACGTGCCAATATTCTGAATGATGTCAATGTGTGATGACTCTCCCCATAACACCACAATTTTATAGTTCCTTGATGTCCTCAATCCCAATACCCATCTGCACATCAGCTAAGTGATTCATGACCATGGTGAATTCAAGACTTTGGCTTCCATAAGACTTTTCTACCTCTTTGACCACTATGCCTGTCCTTTCAAATCATTCACTTCCTTATCATTACTGGCAAACTTTCAGTTCCTTAGTCACCTTTCTTTTTCTCCTTGTAAAACCACTCTAGGTTTTACTTTTTTCTCTATGAACTTAAAGTCCATGACACATTAATCACTACCACTTCCCTCAAATGCCCTGCCCTCAACTTCCAGAGGGAAATTTCTTTGACTCCATTGTGATAAAAAATACAATAAAAACCCTCTGACTAATATTCCCCTGTTTTCTCAGCTGTTTATATGGATGCATACTTCCCCCTTTTTCTGCTTAAGACCTGACTTCTCTAACTAGGCTCAAGATCTCTTCCCTCTCTTTCAAATGTATTCATTATCCACCTTTAGATTCTTGAAGGTAATGACTTTTGCCTGTAAATATTTAGCTCTAGCACAATGCCTGTCACATAGATGGGATGAAAAATATAATGAATTTAGTGTGAATAAAAGTTATCTACTTCTCTTAAACTGGCATAAAGCCCCAACGCAAGAACATATTTTTTTTTTTTTTTTGAGACAGAGTCTCACTCTGTTGCCCAGAGTAGAGTGCCGTGGCATCAGCCTAGCTCACAGCAACCTCAAACTCCTGGGCTCAAGCGATCCTCCTGCCTCAGCCCCCCAAGTAGCTGGGACTACAGGTGTGCGCCACCATGCCGGGCTAATATTTACTATATATATTTTTAGTTGTCCAGCTCATTTCTTTCTATTTTTTTTAGTAGAGACGGGGTCTCACTCTTGCTCAGGCTGGTCTCGAACTCCTGAGCTCAAACAATCCACCCACCTTGGCCTCCCAGAGTGCTACGATAACAGGCGTGAGCCACCGCGCCTGGCCAAGAACATATTTTTTGATTAACCTATTTCTTAGAGACACTGAGATAAAAAGAAAAGCTTTTCTTGCAGTTAACAGAAAATTCACCCGCCTTATTCAGTGCTCTCCTTATCAGACCCATAGTGGGATACATTAAGTAACACATGATCTCTAAGAAGACTCAGAATATCATAGATGATACTTGTATTTCAAACTTTTCCATTAGAGATCCTTCTATTCTAAAACAAATCTCAAAAAATTAGCAGTGACAAAAGCAAGATTTTGCTACTTCTTTTATTCCCATACAAATAAATTTCTTACATGAACTATGATCTCTCAAGAAGAAACATGAAGGGAATCAACTAAAATGATAAAATGGAAAAAGGAAGCAAGGTGGGTTTGAATTATCAAAGTGAAAACAGTAGGGGGAGAGAATAAGGCATGAATACATACCTATGAGTAAGACAGTTTAGAGCAGCAGCAACTTCTTCTGTAAAAGGCTAGATAATATTTTTAAGTTTTGTGAGCCAAGAGGCAGTTAATGATAACAGTATCTATTTTGGAGGATTGTTGGAAAAATGAGACATTATGGATACAAAATGCTTAGCCCTGTGTCTGACTCAATCAAATTGGCTATTATTCTTACATTGTTATGGCAGGTTTAGCAAAGAGCTTTGAAATACTTAAATAAATCAAAATTTTAACTCATTTAACTTCTGTTCCAGAACTAGTGATAAACAATTAGAAAACTCTTTCATGTCTCTAGGCTACTTATTGATTGCTCTTTGCAAGAAGGAGTAAAAGATTTGATTTAGTAAGTTATTATTTCACAGGTATATCTGATGACATTTATTTAGGTGTAGCAAAAGCTGTTTAGCTTTTGAATTAAATCAGAAGATTTGTGAGATGTCATATAAACCTATTCTCAAAGCTTAATTACAGATCCTCCAATAAATGAAGCTATTTATGTTTGACATCCATGTATTTAAATCCCTCACCTCCATATTTAGCAATGTAATAAAATATGTAAATATATTACCACGGCAAAATATAGTATACTTGATTTTTAAACTGTCAATAGTGAATGTTTTTTTTTTAAGAGATCGAGTGTTGCTCTGTTTCTCAGGCTGATGATAGCTCACTGCAGCTTCGAATTCCTGGGCTCAAGCAATCCTGCCACCTCAGCCTCCCAAGTAGCTAGGACTACAAGCACGCACCATAAGGCTCCACTAATTTTTTTATTTTTTTGAAGAGACAGGAGTCTCACTATGTTGCCCAGGCTGGTCTCAAACTCTTAGCGTCAAGCGATCCTCCTGTCTCAGTCTCCAAAAGTGCTGGGATTACAGGCCTACAGCACTGTACCCGGCCTGTTTTATGCAAATAGTAATTTTATGCATTACAAATTAAGAAGTTAAAAACAGACACATGAACTCTGCTTTTGCCACTAATAGTGCAGTGTGGGGAATTATAGCCAATACTTGGATGCATCAATACAAGTTTTTTTGTTTGCCTTATTCACTGGGACTCATGTCTCAATTTCCCACTTTCTTTTTTTTTTTGAGACAGAGTCTCACTCTTTTGCCTGGGCTAGAATGAGTGCCATGGTGTCAGCCTAGCTCACAGCAACCTCAAACTCCTGGGCTCAAGCAATCCTTCTGCCTCAGCTTCCCGAGTGGCTGGGACTACAGGCATGCGCCACCATGCCCAGCTAATTTTTTCTATATATTTTTAGTTGTCCGATTAATTTCTTTCTATTTTTAGTAGAGACGGGGTCTTGCTCTTGCTCAGGCTGGTTTCGAACTCCTGAGCTCAAACAATCCGCCCGTCTCGGCCTCCCAGAGTGCTAGGATTACAGGCGTGAGCCACCGCGCCCAGCCTCAATTTCCCACTTTCTTTGTCTCTGAAGATGATTTTTGGATAATAGGAAGTAATAAGGGTGAGCACCCTATAAATAATATTAGAATCAGCTATGTAATATATTCAAATAATTGTTCTTTTTATGTGGGAGAATAGAATGCTAATATAGATTGAGTATCCCTTATCCAAAATGTTTGGGATGAGAAGTGATTAGGATGTTGGATTTTGGAATATTTGTACATACATAATACTGGCTGAGCATCCCTAATCCAAAAATCAAAAATCCAAAATTCTCCAAACGAACATTTCCTTTGAACATTATATGTTGGTGTTCAAAAAGTTTCAGATTTTGGAGCATTTCAGATTTCAGATTTTTAGATTAGGGATACTCAACCTTTATTACTTAATGTATTTATGAGGAAAAAATGGAACGAATTCTTAGTTTAGAGAAAAGATTTTAATGTCCTATTGCACAGCTTGGCAAACTATTTCAGTATAGGGCCATAAAATATTTTAGGCTTTGTAGACCATAAAGTTTCTGTAGCAACTACTCAATTCTTGCCACTGTAACTTGAAAGCAGCCACAGACAAAATGTAAATGAATGAATGTGCCTGTGTTCCAAGAGAACTATTATCATCATTTCAAGATAATGAAAGTGAACCTCAAGAACTTATTTAATTTACCTATGGCATTATTTTATAAATTAAGACCAATGATTAATTTACATTTTTTCTTCAGTGTTTTTATGTATTAGGAGTTAATTTATAAATAACAAAATCACAGAGATTTTCACTGGTTTCAGAAAGAAGATACATACATAAAAATTATACACTTCAAGTATAGTGTAATAAAAGTTATACAACACATACAGAGTACAACATGTATTAGAAACAATTTGTTCTTTAGTCTAAAAGGCTTTCACACCATAATCCAAAAAAAAACACCAAGCATTTGTGGCCAGCAGTAAAGGGTATAGTCTGCTGTGGTGGGCAAAATATAGAAAAGGACTTAGGAGTAACATTCATAGAGTTCTACAGAGCATCCTGATCTAGTGTATAGATCCAACAGTAGTTCTAAGTTTATGACAGAAATGAATGAAATATTTCCTGGTTTAATACTTCTAATCACATAACACTTAACAAGCCTTCCTAACATTTAGCTAAATGTGATTTTTAAGTTAGCAATTTAAAGGAATTATTTAAGGAAGCATATGCTATACTTACACCTTTAAATTCAACCATCTGTACCCCTGAGATGTTGCCCTATTTTTCCATTATTTTGAGAGAACTTTTTTGATCAATTCTCCAAAGTCCCATCAAACTAGTAAAAGTCTTTGAGACTTAAAATTCACTTCACATCTTTGCTTTGATTAGTCAGTATTTGTTTTTTAAAAAGAAAAGAGATTCTTTAATTCCTACCATCCTCAGTCCTTGGCTGCTGAGGGAACATGTAGTTAGTAAGCATCATTTTCTGGGTCTCTGAATCAGTTTCTTTTTGAAGAGGTATCAGAGGTTTAGACTAGAGAAAGAAAATAAATGTTTAATTTTCAATAACCCTAAAGCAAATACATATTTAGCAATTTTCTCCCAATGAGTACTCACCATTTTTCTATTAATTATCAATGTATAGATTACAAAAACAAATTTATCTATATATGATAACACTTTTAACACTGATTTGAAACCATTAAAAAAATCTAAAAAATAAAATTTAGTTTTTAGTATACAGCAAATTCATACTATATTACAATTATCACTGAAATATCCATAGTTTTAAAGATTTCATATACTAAGTATATCTACAGTCCAATAATTATTTACTATCACACTGACTTATTTAATAAAGTTATAAAATTAGCTTTTCCATTTTATGTTATTTTGTTCTCTCTGGTATTCCCCTTCACAAAGATGCTTCTGGAAAAATCATTTGGAAGGTTTAGTCTAGTTATCTAAATGTTTATTCCAGTTAGCAGCTGAAAAGAGTGCTTAAACAACCATTAAGTTGTAAACTGCTTCTCTTTTCCTCTTGTGTCTCCTGTCTTCATTAACGATACCAACAAGTCACTCAGTGGTGGAGCCTACAGGTATTTGGGACCTCATTTTTTTAAAGGCTTTTTTCCTAACTTCTTAACAAATGTTATCAGTTTATTTCTTAATATAACTAACTCTTATTTGCCAATCTATTCACCTATAATCCTACCAATAAAGCCTTGGCTGACTCCAGACAGAGAATGACCCAATCCTCCCCTCACATGCTATACTATCATTTAATTGTTTGGACCTACTCTTGTGAAAACCTTCTAGCTAGTTAATTCCATCCTGTAATTTTACTCCCATTCAAACACTTCTTTTGTACCTCTGCCTTGTTATGTAGTAAACAAACTGCCCTACTGCCCTACATCTCAAACTTCTAAACATTTTCTTTGACTTCCTCAGATAATGAAAGTGGTAACTCTACTTTTTCCCAAAGCCTCAACTACAGGTAGCTTGTTCTTCCACACTTCATTCCCCCTAGGAGGCGGGGGTAGCACTAACAATGCCATGAGATCATTACTTCTCTGTCCTCAGATTTAAACTTCTGTTCCTTTGAGGCATAGATACCTTGCTTCTACTTTCATTTCCTTTCCTATTATCCACTGACTTCCTGACTCTTTTACTACAAATCTTTCCACAGTCAAGGGTATTCAACACGTATAAAATGTACTTGACATAGTCCTACTCCTGGCTTCTTAGTGGATGAGGAATGTGTGGGAAGGAGAAAATAAGTCCTCTTAGATGGGCATATCAAAATTATCTGGAAGGCTTTTAAAAACTAATCACCCTGAAAATGCTCTAAAGTTAACTGTCATAATCATTGCACAACTCTGAATACACTAAAAACCACTAAACTCTACACTTTAAAAAGGGTGACTGGTATGGCATGTGAACTATATTTCAATAAAGGTGTTATAAGAAAATTAATCACCTGTTATTTATGAGGCACAAGGACAGAAAAAGGGGTTGAGAACTATTCATCCAGCCTCTCGGTTTCCTGAACTCCTAAGTTCAATGATCTTTAATTACTAAAAAACATCACCTGTAAATATCCTTCCTCTGAAACCTAAAATCATTCATTCAACAAATATCTACTAAGAGCCTTTTATACTGCAAACACTATGACAGGCACTGGGTATAGAGGGTGAGCTAATCATGTATCCTTACTGACTTTGTAGAGTTTACAGTATATGAGAGGAACAATATAGGTCACTGTCATACAGTGTAATTACAGGGTAGACAGGGTATAGGGAGCTAAAACAATGTATAGAAGGAGGAATTCACTTATCACAATCTTAAATGATTACCAAAGCATTCCTGAAAGAAAGGTGAGGAAAAGAAGATAAGCCAGGTAAGAAAGAGAAGGAAGAATGTTTCAAGAGAGCAGAAACCGTCTGAGGAAATGAGAATGAAGGTGTACAGGGTAGAAATGAAGCCACAGGATGAGAAGGATCTTGAGGCATATGATATAAAGAAAAAAAAAGTCATGGAAAGGTTTTAAGTAGGTTAACACTAGGATCAGATTAAAGGATCACGAGTTGCAATGTGGTTCACAATGGAATTAGGGTGATAAGGAATTGGAAGTGGTGGCAACACAGGAGGTAGAGACCTGTTAGGAAGCTATCTTAGAAGTAAAGACAGCACTGATCCACAGAACTATAATGTGAGACAAAAATGAGAACCACAGATTATTTGCAATTTTCTAGTAGCCACATTTTTTAAAAGGCCAAAAAGATAAAATTTTGATAATGTATTTAACTTAACCTTACATATTCAAAATATTATAATTTTAACATGTAATCCAAAATAAAAATTATGAATGTGGGCTGGGCGCAGTGGCTCATGCCTATAATCCTAGCACGCTGGGAGTCCAAAGTGGGAGGACCACTTGAGCTCAGGAGTTTGAGACCAGCCTAAACAAGAGTGAGACACTGTCTCTACCAAAAATAGAAAAAATTAGCCAGGTGGGGTGGCACACACCTGCAGTCCCAGCTACTCAGGAGGCTGAGGCAAGAGGATCACTTGAGCCCAGGAGTTTGAAGTTGCAGTGAGCTATGATCACGCCATTGCACTCTACCTGGGGCAACAAAGTGAGACTCTTGTCCCAAAAAAAAAAAAAAAAAAATTCATGAATGTGATAATTTACATTCTGTGCTTGTATTAAGGCTAAAGAATCACTGTGCATTTTACACTTACACTACCATCTCAGTTTGGACGAGTCACATGACACTAGTGTGGCAACAGTGCTAGACAGTGCAGGTCTAAGTGAAAGATGATGGTGGGCAGTATTTAAGGAAGTGGCAGTAGGGATAAATCAAAGCACATAAACATCTCAGATGTTTATGTTAAGATTCAGCAGTGTGCGGCAATCAACCGGACTGAAGTATACGGAAAAACAGTAGTTAAGGGTTACATTCCCAGGTCTGCCTCCATCAAGAACTTTTTACTGAGCCAGGGAACCCAGGGGAAAAATAGTATTTGGAGCAGACAATGGTACACTCAATTTTATGCTGGTTGAATTTGAGGCATCTAGGTGGCAATGTTAAGTAGGCATTGAGCTATATGAATGTGAAGTTCAAGCATGAGAATAGGGATAAAGATATTGACAGGAATAAAGGAGATGTAGACAGTAATTTTCAGAGAAAGTATGAAGAAACTAAAGCAAAGCCTAGAGCACCATGAAGAACGCCAATATATAAGACGCTGGCAGAAGAAATATGCCTGAAAAGGAGACTGAGGAGTGGTCAGTCAAAAGGACAACCAGCAGAGTATGGTAACACACACACCATGCAGCTCTCTCACTCCGCTGCTCCCACAATACTCACCAAGACTGTGAGTCCTTACCACTTGGTTGAGTTTATGATAAATACAAACAAACAAACAAACAAAAGACTGCTAGCTAGTCCCTTGACCTTTTGACATTCTTTCCATTATTTGCTCCTGTCTTTGATTCCCTTTCTGTACCATTACATATCTCATTTCAACCACCTTCTTGCCAGTAACCAAGACCTCCTTGCTGCATTGTCCTTTTCTTACACCCGGCTTGAGAAAATTGCAGCTCAGCATCATTCCAATTGTGTGTTTTTCCATATCACACAACTGAGCAAAATAGCATCATCACAATCTGTGTAGTCACACTAACAATACTTCAGTTGGGCTCTCAATGTTGCCCGAAAATCATTCTACATTTCCTAAATTGTATTCTGAAGATACTGTCTTTAGCCCTCCCCCTTTACATTCAGACCCAAACTGCCTCCAAAACGGTAAGAATTCCTGTCATAGCTCTAATAATTTCATCAGTTTTCAATCCAGTTATCCAATTCCCTTTCATATTCTTAATCTTATTCTCCACACAGCTTCTTTCTAACAACCTGTAAACATGCTCTCTAACATTAAAGGATCCCTGTTTACCCTGTTGCTAGCTACCAATTTCTTTTTTTTTTTTTTTTGAGACAGAGTCTCGCTTTGTTGCCTGGGCTAGAGTGAGTGCCGTGGCATCATCCTACCTCACAGCACCCTCAAACTTCTGGGCTCAAGTGATCCTCCTGCCTCAGCCTCCCGAGTAGCTCGGACTACAGGCGCAAGCCACCACGCCCGGCCTACCAATTTCTTTATGGACCACTTCTTTTCCTTCTCATTTGACTTCTTAAAAAAATAATCAACAGGCCTGTAATCCTAGCACTCTGGGAGGCTGAGGCGGGCGGATTGTTTGAGCTCAGGAGCTCAAGACCAGCCTGAGCAAGAGCGAGACCCCGTCTCTACTAAAAATAGAAAGAAATTAATTGGACAACTAAAAATATATAGAAAAAATTAGCCGGGCACGGTGGCGCATGCCTGTAGTCCCACCTACTCGGGAGGCTGAGGCAGAAGGATCACTTGAGTCCGGGAGTTTGAGGTTGCTGTGAGCTAGGCTGACGCCACAGCACTCACTCTAGCCTGGGCAAAAGAGTGAGACTCTGTCCCCCCCAAAAAAAAACAAACAATATATATATATCAACCTTGCTATCTTATGCCTAATTAGTCTTCTATATCGATTTTTCAAGGCAATTTTTGACAACCTAGTGCTCTAGTTTGGGGGTAGGAAGTATAGGCCAAAACAGGGGATTTAATAAGAAAGCAGTGGTTCTTTTTAAATAAAACGGAAGTTAGAACATCATAACTTAATAAAATAACTGAGTTTAAGTTAAAGCTTTACTTTACAAGCTGTATGAGTCACCTTAAATCTGAATCTTAAATTTCTACCACATAAAATGGGAATACCTATTGTGCTATTTCACAGGGCTGTTTTGAAGACTTCATATGATATTATGAAGGCAAAATGTACAAATGCTGTTTTATCATCATTAATATCTTTACATCTGGAAAAAGTATGGACATTCTGTTTTTAACCAAAACATCATTTCAACTTAGCAACCCTAGTGATCAATTTGCTTTGAACCTTGGCTTTGTTGCCAAAACTATGTGAGTATGCACATAACCACACCTTTGCCCAAGAAAATATGAGCAAAAGATTAGATTCAAAAGTTGTTTTAACGGCAGTATTCAGGAAGATCTGACTTTAGGAATAAGAAATGGGATGGAACTGGCGACCATTCTCCTAAGGAAAGTATCACAAGAATGGAAAAACAAATGCCACATGTACTCACTATTAAATTGGAATTAACCGATCAGCACTCATGAGCACATACAGAAGTAAAACTCAATGGAAATCAAGCAGGTGGGAGGGAGGAGAAAGGGATGGGTGAAATCACACCTAACAGGTACAATGCACATTATCTGGGTGACATGGGCACACTTATAATTTTGACTCAAGTTGTACAAAAGCAATCCATGTAACCAAAACATTTGTATCCCCATAATATTCTGAAATAAAAAAAGAAATGTTACTAGAAGGAGAGAATAAAGGTTGTATAGCTAAGTCAATCCAAAATGAACAGTAACAACCACTGTATGATAAATTAACATCAGATAAAATTAGATCACCCTATTTAAACAATAAAAAAATATATACAGTCAGTCCTCACTTAACATTGTCAATAGGTTCTTGAAAACTGTCATTTTCTGTGAAACAATGTATAATGAAACCAATTATTTTTCTCATCAATGTTATAAGGAAACAACATTAATCAAGAATCTGCCATATGAAGTTTTGCTTAAAGTCAGTTTCCAAGAACCTGTTTATGGTATTCTGTAAGGACTTACAGTATACATGAAAAGAGAAATAAGCATTAGCTGCTTTATTACATATCAAATGAAACTTTAATTTTATTTAATCAAACCAATTGATGAATATAGTATTACAAACCTATTGTCACTTAAATTAATGACTTTTAATTTCTGCATATCACCCATTTCCTCTGGAAGTGTCTCAAGTTTATTAGAATGGAGAAACAGCACAGTTATATTTTTCCAGCTTCCAATCTGAAAGAGAAGTATAAATTGGGGATCAAAAATTTGGCCTATGGGTTGATCAACATTTGAAATTTATGAATCTACACCTAGTTTATAAAAATTAT